CAATTAATTTATTTTTATTACTTATATTAGTTGTTTTTTATATACTTATTATAAGAAACAATTAATTTATTTATATTACTTATATACTTATATAATATACTTATACTAATAATATACGTTACTTTTTTACAAAAATATTATATATTATAAAGAATATAATAAAATAAATTATAAAATTTATATATTCTTTATTTATTCTTTACGCGTTCTTTTCTTATCTGGTTATTGTGGTAAATATTGCACATGTTATCGAATGGTTAAAACACTCATACGAAGGAAAGTAAGTGATCCAAGCTCGATTCTTGGCTGATTCTTGGGATGATTTTTAGCAATAAGAATTTCGCTGAGTAAGGAATTAATCAAATAAATTGATCAATTTATTAAGATGTAAACGCATAAACATGCCCTTATCATATCGTGCTGGTTGGGATTTATATTTGACACATAACTTATTAGCATATATGATTAATAATTCATCATATCTCACAATACATGTTACTATATCATCTCGCATTACTGGAAATACTGTATTCTTTAAAGTCTCATTTGCTAGTTGATGTATTGTATCTGCAATTTTTCCTCCAATAGCTACAACATTTTGATTCTTTCGAGAATCTTTTTCAAAACATTTTCGAGCGTGATGTCGTACTGCAATTTTGATGAAAAAACCTTTACACTTTAGACAAGCAGTAAAGTCAGTTGCAACTTTATTAACTTTTTCATTCGGACATCTACACACGATAAGTTGTCCAATATTAAAGTCAGAATTGGTATTATATTTGAAATTACCCATATTTCGTAGAGTATTTATTATCTTTCTTCTTTCCGGATTTCGTTTTAGTAGAATGATAAATTGTTTAACATCAGGTTCATCATAATGTACAGTTTGCAAATGTCATGCGAGTTGTGATTGCAACTTTATACAGAAAATACAGCAGTTTCATTTAGTCGATTCTTTTTTAGTTTTTAACATACATTAATTCGTCATTGCATGAACTAACTGTATTAATTTGCGATTCATTGAAACTAGAAGCGGATGCCATTATTTGAAATATTATTTTGTGGAGATTCACTATTATGTGAAAAACTTCGTTCTGCAGATACATATTCTTCATCGCTACATTCTTTCTTGTTATCTAGTAAAAAAAAATTATTTAACCATGTAAAATAACAAATATAAGTGTGATAATGTAATGTTTAAAAATTAATATACCGAGATAGCAAATTCACATTATTTGTCGTTATTTTGACTATTAGATATCATTTTGACGAAAACTGATGTTAAAACGATCATAATAACAAAAAAAGGCAATTTGCTATCTGTAGTACATGTCCAATACAACACAAACTTTGCAGTTATATTGCAGTAACGTTATTGCAATCTTAGAATATTGCAGTTATGTTGCTGCAATGTAGCTGCAAGATCTGTGCTGTATATCGAGATGCTTGTATATCAATACATAAATATTATCATATAATGAATTACAAGAAAAGTAATAATGACGGTGATATTATAATAGTTTTTCAACAAATTTGAAGAAATGTACTTGTAATGTTGTAGAGCAAGAGCAAAGATTATGGAATATTACTATATGTTAATGATATTCAACTTTTATATATACAGCACAATTAGCATTATAAGACAATGTACTTATATATTTATGTAAAACCATTTACTTGTTATCCCTGTCTCACGAAACACATTAATGTTTCATGAATATTGCAATTTATCTAATCAAATTATTTGAATTGGCATTAACACGATGGTATTGTACAAATAATTGCAATTATGCAATTATATTTTAAAAATAATCGTGAAAGATCATCAAAAATATATTTATATATTTTATTTTATACTCTTCCATTATAATATTATCACAGACTATTAATTTAGCTTTTAAAACGAAATAAAGACTTTTAACGAATTAAAAAATAATTATGAAAAATAATTTTCATATATACCATAAAATATCATATCATTGACAGTATGCTGCTGATATAACACAGGTATATCTCCTACATCTGCAGATAACATACGTGTATATCTCTTATGTCTTCTGATAGCTCTTCTGAACATAAATATTATTTTTTGTAAAATAAATTAGAACACAAAAACAAAAAACTTAATTACTACTAAAATATGAATATCGAAAACGCAAAAGACCATTATTTGCAAAGAGAAGATTAAATAATTTGAAACATTTTATTACTATCCAAAAATATTCAAAAATATTTCTTTGCAAAAAAATTGACGTAACAAAGCAGTGAATCTTACTTCGAGTGAAATCAATGTTACAATCTTATAAACAATAGTATATTAAGTCGCTACTACTATGTCTCTGAAATATTTAATTTTTTATATTTTGTTTCATGTCTCGTAAATCGATATGTCCTTACATTTCATTCCTTACATATTCCTACATTATATGCTTGATTATATGCTTTATACGTACCAATAGAATTAAATATTAATTCTCTAACATTTCTTCATATTATCAGATATAGAACAATTATATGTAGCTATAAATATAAGAATAAGTATGTTTTATATTACATAATAAATAAATTAAAGCGTATTTTACTAATTTCACAAATAAAACGTGTTTAAGATATATATAAACATTAATATATTATTATTTATATAATACTCTATCCAGAGCAACTAAGAAAGTAAATAAATATATACAAATTATTAAACGTGAAAATTTTTATGTATAGTGTATAATTATTACTCACAAGAAATTAAGATTTTCATATGTTCGTTTTCAGTATCAATATTTTCATTCGGATTAAGCAAATCTTTAAATGTTGTGTCAACATCAAACACTAAAAAATAGTGTACAAATTTTTTTATTGTTTAAAATAGATTATATTTAAAAAATTATTTTAGCATTATCATACCGTAAAATAATTTTCTGGAATTTCATCATTTTCTTGAGTATCACAATCTTTACTGCCCATATAAATTTCATGGTTCCTTCCATTCTCTTCAGCAAAAATTATTTTTGTATTAAGATAAAAACATTGTAATAAATTAATTAATATTGTATTAAAATTATATAGATATTATATCATATATAACATATCTATAATAATTAGTATTTATGAGATAATTTAGAAAAAAATAAATATTTATACCATATGATATAAGTATATCTTGCTAAAAGTTTTAATGTTTAGAGACATCATTTGTCATCGTTAGATATGTTTTTCTGAGAATTATTTTTTAAGTTGGAGATATTAATCTTATTGTTATTTGAATTATCACATATTATGGTTTTGTTTGCTTTTCCTGAAAAACCTAATACGTCAATATTGCTTTTATAATTTACTCCTGATTATTATCTTATCTCTACAGAATTTTATAAAGTGCTTCTAACTGATTTACATAGTGCAGTACCATAAACATTTTCTGGACAGTTACAATTTGAACATATTATTTAAACTTTTATTCAAATTTCAATTTTTACTGCTGTTAATATTTGTTAAAATATAACAATAGTTTAAATAGAACTCATTCATATTCATATAATTCATATTCAATAAAATTGTAATAAAAAATAAGTATATACTTACCGTTTATATTTATCTGAATATTTCTTTGATAACCTGTATGATATAAATATGAAACAAAAGACTCATCAGATACTAATGTGTTTATTTTGTTCCTCATACTTATATCATGAGAGCTTTGTTGTATCACTTTGTCAGTATCTATTAAAAAAAATAATAATATTTATCATATAATATTTAAATATTCATATTTCACATAAAGAAAATCTAATACGGAATATAAAATAAGGATATAAAATCACCTTAGAATCGTAGAAAGATTTTCTAATTATCATTAACCGTTTGTATACCAAATTTACCATTTGCAAACCTTTTATAGCTGTTGCTAATGATATCAGAACGCAATATTAGAGGTTTATTTGAATTAATATTTTTTAATATTGTTCTCAATAATCATCTGTAAAAAATAAAACAATTATTTTTTCACGTTAATTATATTTACTTAATTTTCTAATTTTATTTAATACTTGTGCTTAATTATTTCGTTCAGTAAAAAAAAGAGATATATTATTTCCATAAAATTATCATAAGAAAGTAAATAAAAATAATAAAATTGAATCAAATAATTTTACATTTAAAATATAATAGTTTGATTAAATATTTATTTTTCTGTGTTAGTGTAATGTTACATTATATTATTTTATACAACATTTTGTGACGGCACGCATGAGGTCACTAATTTACCGACCACCAGTCCGGCGCTCTTAGAGTGCCTCTACCCGTGTAATCCCCACCGTGGGGAAACCCACTTCCCACCGAGAAAATTGAAAGGTAAGAGCAGCCAGAGCGGTATATAAGCCGGCTCGCCGGACGAGTCGGCATCAGGTCCCGTCTCGAGCAAAATAACTCAGAGTGCTCCCGAGCCTCGACCGAGACTTCCTCCGAGCCTTCCTTTCCAGACGGGATCACGGAGAAGGGTGCTACCTCTCCGAACCCAGGGTGCTCCCGACGTTGGTAGCGTACTTGCGCGTGCGCGCGCACGACCACCCTCGCTTGAACTGTATATATTGTATATAGTTAGCGTGTAAGTCTCCCGCGTTCTCTCTCTTGCGCCGTGTGCATAGTTAGTTTATAAATCTATCGCTACCGTTATTCCGCTTTTGCGGGCTCTGTAAACCGCTCTGCAAACTTTGTATTTCCGTCTGCTGTTGTAACTATTATCCTGGAACCTTACACTGCGCCTGAATACACTTGCACTCCACACACGTACGCCACACACACACACACACACACACACACACGCGCGCGCGCGCGCTCACCTATTCTCTGTACATAAGAGTAGTTTCTCAATAAATAGTATATTTTGATTAATTGCTGTGTTGTTCGTAAGCTCGGATTTCCCCCTTCTCCCAAATCCTGGCACCGGCGAGTTAATCCGCGACGTCGAGAAAGGTGCACCGTTACAATTTAACAGATAAAATTCTTTTATTTACTATTTTTTTACTATACAGTTGCAGGATATCTACAGTTACGGTATTTACTTGCTGTATTTGACTGTTGTAACATTTCGTTTATTATAATTGGCTCAAACGACACACATAATAAACGTTGTCATCAAATTTAACTATTGCATGCAAATTAATAAATTGAAATAAAATTGAATAACAAAAATTTAATGAAACTTAATTGTAATACAATTGTATGAAAGATGTATAACTTACAAATGAATTACCAGAATGATAAAACGCTTATGGTTGTCGCACATTGAACGCGATGAGTGAGGAGCGATGAGCGATGTCCAATGAGAGCTTTGCTTTCGTATGTGACGTTTGAAAAAGCAAAGCTCTCATTGGACATCGCTCATCGCTTGTCGCTCGTCGCGTTCAGTGTGCGAGAATTATTACACAGCTTTTGTTTTCTTAATTATTATTAACATTAACTGTTATTAATATTAAGCGACAAAATTTAAAAAATAAGTAAATCAACGAATCGCAATCAAGCAATGTCAATGGCTGTGTTCAGTAGAGAAGGCAGTTTAATAAGCACTTTGCGCTGATTGGATAATATTTTTTACATCTAAGTTGAGATAGGACTATTTCTCTAGATCTAAAAATATAATCCAATCAATGCAAAGCGTTTATTAAGCAGCTCTTATTGCTAAATGCAGCCATTGATCGTGCGCTTCCCCTCTGCAGATAGGACGCCACAATCTTTGCTATAGTTTGTCTGCAGAAACTATAATAAGCGAATCTATAGGCAAACTTTTCGCTGTATGTGTATGAGTATCATTAAAACGAGAATGCATGCACTACAAATTTCCAATATTAAAATAAATGTTCAAATAAATGATGTCAACAATGATTACTAATTGATAATCGTAGAGGCGAAACATACTTTCATACGTATGACAGAATACATATATAGAAAATGTATACATATTGATAGAAGATATCGAAGCAATGAAAATATAATGCCATTACATGAGAGAGATCCGACAGCACACAACTGGTTGGTCAATTAAATGTAAAATTTTCTGATTGGTTCCATTGAAGAATTCCTAAGCCGCGTCTGATGTGTGTGAATGTGTACTATCACATTAGGCGCTAACGGGATCCACCTTATTACATACTGATTATACAGTGATATTTTCTAGACTAGATGATCTATCACACATTCATGACTGCAATTTCCTTTAAAGTTGCAACACATATCATATATTTTGCAATTATATAGCAGAAAAATTACTGTAATATTATATCACAGCAATGTTATCGTAACATAGCAGCAAAATTTGTGTGACAATTAACTGAAAGTTAAATAAGAAGTAAATGATATTCAATATTGCGATTTTGGAACAAATATATTCTCGTTCATATTCAACGCATTACATTTGAAATAATTAATAAAAGGTTAAGATAATTTCCATTCACATGTGTACATATATTCTGTCATATAAAGGAGATTGTTTTGTTTCAAATTTCTTGTGATTTGCACTTAAAGCTGATTAAAGCCTAAGACACAATGAAAAGATACATGAAACAGGGGGAAAAGATACAAGAACTTACTACAAATGCTTTGAAACATTTTTTAATGCATTAGTAAAATTTTTTGTTTTGATTGTATAATGGAATGCTTCAAAGCATTTGTAGCATTTGTTACATAGCCAGGAACAGAGAATAGTAACTGGCAATAGATTTCAACCAATCAGAATCTGTGAAGAATATCGGAGTTATTTCTGATTCGTGGAAATCTGCTGCCAGTTCTCTGTTCCTGTTGCCTGTTTTTCATTGTGCTTTCAGCTTAGCTGCATTTATTTTATATATATATATATATATATATTAATTTAAGTAGTTCTAA